CTGACCAGCGCTCCACATCATCTTTATGTTTCCCTATAACCGTCTGTTGTCTTTGTATGCAGTTTTAGAATCTATTCACGTACTAACGTTCAGGAAACAACAACATTCAAGTCAAATGGAACATGCACTTCTATTTTTCATACCTCCTAACCCTAGACCGAACTTGCTTTGGTGGGCTTATTACACAAATATGAAAAAACAAACGTTGTGAGACATCATCCAGTGGACGTGTATATGGATGCTGCGTTGTGTTTGATGGGGATCGTAATAGTAATTCAAAATTTTCCTACGTGTCACCAAGATCAATCTAGGAGATGCTAGCAATGAGAGAGAAGGAGTGCATCTTCATACCCTTGAATATCGCTAAGCGGAAGCGTTACAAGAACGCGGTTGATGTAGTCGTACTCGCGACGATTCAAAACGCGGAAGATCCGATCCAAGCGCCGAACGGACGGCGCCTCCGCGTTCAACACACGTACAGCCCGGGGACGTCTCCTCCTTCTTTATCCAGCAAGAGGAGAGGATAAGTTGAGGGAGAACTCCGGCAACACGACGGCGTGGTGGTGGAGCTTGCGGTTCTCCTGCAGGGCTTCGCCAAGCACTACGGAGGAGGACGAGGTGTTGGAGAGGGGAAGGGCTGTGCCAGGGAAGGGGTGCGGCTGCCCTCTCTCTCCCTCACTATATATAGGGGGAAGGGGGAAGGAGGAGGCGCCCTAGGGTTTCCCTAGGGGAGGGGCGGCGGCCACAGGGGAAACCCTAGATGGGTTTGGGCGCCCCCACCCCTAGGAAACTTGCCCCCCAAGCCGGGAGGGGCGGCTGCCCTAGGGGAGGCGCCCCCATCTCTCTAGTTTATGTGAGATGGGGTGGGAGGGGCGCACAACCCCTTAGTGGGCTGGTGTGCCCCCTCCCCTTGGCCCATAAGGCCCGCCAACGCTTGTCGGGGTCTCCGAAACTCCTTTCGGTCACGCTGGTCGTCACCTGGTACTCCTAGAACAATTCCGGACTCTAATACCCTTCGTCCAATATATCGACCTTCACCTCCGGACCATTCCGGAGTTCCTCGTCACCTCCGGGATCTCATACGGGACTCCAAACAACCTTCGGTAACCACATACTATTCCCATTACAACTCTAGCGTCACGAACCTTAAGTGTGTAGACTCTACGGGTTCGGGAACCATGCAGACATGACCGAGACACCTCTCCGGTCAATAACCAATAGCAGGATCTGAATATCCACATTGGCTCTCACATGTTCCACGATGATCTCATCGGATGAACCATGATGTCAGGGATTCAATCAATCCCGTATACAATTCCTTTTGTCCATCGGTATGTTACTTGCCCGAGATTCGATCGTCGGTATCCCCATACCTCGTTCAATCTCGTTACTGGCAAGTCTCTTTACTCGTTCCGTAATGCATGATCCCGTGGATAACTCCTTAGTCACATTGAGCTCATTATGATGATGCATTATCGAGTGGGCCCAGAGATACCTCTCCGTCATACGGAGTGACAAATCCCAGTCTCGATTCGTGCCAACCCAACAGACACTTTCGGAGATACCTGTAGTGCACCTTTATAGCCACCCAGTTATGTTGTGACGTTTGATACACCTAAAGCACTCCTACGGTATCCGGGAGTTGCACAATCTCATGGTCTAAGAAAATGATACTTGACATTAGAAAAGCTTTAGCAAACGAACTACACGATCTTGTGCTATGTTTAGGATTGGGTCTTGTCCATCACATTATTCTCCTAATGATGTGATCCCGTTATCAACGACATCTAATGTCCATGGTCAGGAAACCATAACCATCTATTGATCAACGAGCTAGTCAACTAGAGGCTCACTAGGGACATGTTGTGGTCTATGTATTCACACATGTATTACGGTTTCCCGTTAATACAATTATAGGATGAACAATAAACAATTATCATGAACAAGGAAATATAATAATAACCATTTTATTATTGCCTCTAAGGCATATTTCCAACAGTGTTGCCTTATATGGTGCTCCCTCCAACCGGCTGATATCTTCCACGGGACGCTGCCATCGCCGTACACTGACTCCCCATGTGCACTATAATTTTCCATGTAGGGACAAGTGCAGTTCAGTCTTAAATCCAAACATATTGGGATATAAGTAAACACGCAATTAAACACTCTTCATGTGCAAGCTGCGCTTGAGTCTAGTCATTAGGTTGTTTGATGCATGTAGTACATTTTGAACTAACTTCTTACATTTTGTGGGCCTGGGGATCCACGCTCTTCCACTTTGAACTAACTCAAATTGGATGGATCACAGGTCAGGGAAGTGCATGATTGTGCTTTAGTTCGTAACGCTCACGCCGTTGTCCTATTATCTGCCTGTTGCAAGACTAAACGCCTGTTCTGATCCTGAAGAAGCTTAGGCAGCTGCTGTTCTTCTGGGCCTTCAGCATTGATCTATGAGGAGCTTAGAATACTAAGCGAAGAAACCAGGGCCGATGTGTGCCATCAGCCATCCAGGTAGCTTTACCAATTTCTGCATGCTCCACGCAGTCGTCAAGAGCAGCTTCACGCTGGCTCTTCATGGCCTTTGTTTTCTTCTGTTCATCCAACAATCTTTAAACATGCATGTCTGGCTAAGAATTGCATAACCTCATGCATAGTCGCCAATTTGTATAACAATCGTGTATCATGCATAAGCATTCAACTTCTGTTATGAGAAATACAACATCATCCAATACTGTACCCAATATCAACGTATCACTGATCCAGTCTAAAGAAACTTGGTAAAAAGGCAGAAGGTAGCAAGTCATTCACATAGAGTAATGATTAAAAGTTAAAACCGGCATATTGATAAAGACATAACATCATTAGCAAGGTAATCCAAGGGTAGGTAAACCCCTAAGTCGTGAAAACAACCATGTAGCCAAGTTTAGTATGATCGCTTAGGCAAATCCGTCTAGTAACTACTAACTAGAGATAACTGGGGATCTGGAGCCAATGTCTCCGACTGGAGCATGGGTGTGACCGTCGGCTCAGCCAGTTTCTGTTTTTTTTTCTGCAGAAAGACTATGAGTTTTGTTCCTCCAATACAGGATTACAATCGGCCACCGTGAGCCGACATACAATCCAGGGGTTGACGTAACCAACAAACTATATGACCCTCTGTTCTACCAGACTTTGCCAAGCATTCGACAACCCTGGTCTGGCGTATATATGGAGCTAACAATGTGATCTAGCTCAGCCGGTTTCTCGGTCAAAGTCGTCATCATCGGACATTCACATTGTTGACGTCATACTCTTCCTAGATGTCGTAGGTGGGCTTTCCTATGGACTATTGATCGTATATCACAAGGAGATCTTGATTGGAAAGGAGAAACAACTCTTCTACATGGAGAAAAAGAGGGGTTCCAAAAAAATTTAAACAAAGCCACAGAAAGATTCTATTTGATGGAAAGCTTCTTCTAGCTTGCATCGTTGAGTAGACAAAATATGGATGACAGTTGTGAATGGATGGAAAGCTTCATCTACGGTCATGTGGCTACAGGTTGAATCCTTTCAATATACACTTCTCTTCATTGGCAACAATTGTTATTCTGGTGCGCAGGTCCGGCGGGGCCTTAGCATGATGACTTCCCGACTGTCTACAGCAACAAAGTTTGACTGGGTCCGACGAGGAGGGCATTCATGGCGGTGGGCCTTCGGCTCGCTCCAGTGTTTGTAGTCGTCGCTAGCTAGATGGTCTTCAGATCTGGATGTATGTTTTACTTCTGGTGTTCGTTGTACTAACTTGACAGTTCGATGAATAGATCATAATGACCGACGATAGACACATCTCTTGATGGACTGGATGAGAGTTTTTCTATGTATCCCATTTTTCTATGACCCACCCCCTATTAGTTGGCCCCCATAGTGAATGGAAGAGTCAAATTAGTCTCCTCTTTGTTGCTAATGGCATGACAAATAGGAGGGTCCCATAAAGAAAGAAATTGGTCAAAGGAGACGTCAACGGCGAAGACTTGACCGCAATCATTAGTGGCACAGGCAGAATTCCATACAACTTAGAGAGAGCCTTCGAGTATAGAATCTGGATAGTTGCACGTACCTAAATTTTCCTTCAAAAATCTATAGTAGTTTACCAAAGCAAAAAAACTGTAGTGTTTCCAGAATATAGTGCATCAAAATTGTATAATTACATGTCCAAATTATAATTTGTGCCGGAGTTCTTGAAGGCTGAGCTTCGGTTCTGGTAGGCTGCGCTCCTCACCATCTTTATGGTTCCCTGTACTGTAACCATCTGTTGTCTTTGTATGCAGTTTCAGAAGCTATTCCTGTACTTATGTTCATGATGGAGCGACATGCAAGTCATGCAGGAAATGCACTTTTATTTCCAATACCTCCTAACCATAGGTCGAACCGGCTTTGGTGGTCTTATTGAACAAATATGAAAAAAAAAAGATAACGTTCTGAGACATCACCCGGTGGACATGTATATGGATGCAGATACTCTTTGTTGCCTTTTATGGTGCTCCCTCCAACCGGTTGATATCTTCACGCTGCCATCGCCGTTCACTGCCTCCCCATGTGCACTGCAAAATTCCATCGGCCGATGTAGGCCGTCACTGTCCATCCAAATGCACTTGTATATAATTGCGGAGAAGTGCAGTTCGCTCTTGAATCCAGCCATATAGGGATGTAAGTAAACACGCAACTAAACTTCATGTGCAAGCTGCGCTTGAGTCTAGTCATTGGGTTGTTTGATGCCTCTAGTACATTTTGAACTAAACTTCTCACATTTTGTGGGCCTGGGGATCCATGCTCTTCCATTTTGAACTAACTCAAATTGGTGGATAACAGGTCAGGGAAGTGCATGCCGGTGCTGTAGTTCGTAACGCTCAAGCCGTTGTCCTCCTGCTATGTGCTTGCTGCAGCTATGTGTTTGCTGCAGGACTGAACACATTTCTAATCGGGAAGAAGCTGCGGTTCTGCCCGGCCTTTAACACTGATCTATGGAGCTGAGAATAGCTAATAAGCGAGAAACCAGGGACCAGCAGCGGCGAAACTGTCGACAAGGCACAGGTGATCGAGGATGTGAGGAAGGTGACGCCTCCAAGATCTGCAGCTACGCCCAGGGCATGAACATCATCAAGGCCAAGAGCACGGAGAAAGGATGGGCCTCAATCTCAGCGAGCTGGCAAGGATCTGGAAGGACGGGTGCATCATCCGCGCCAGCTTCCTGGACCGCATCAAGAAGGCCTACGACAGGAACGGCGAGCTCGAGGACCAACCTCCTCATCGACCCCGAGTTCGTGCAGGAGATCATGGACAGGCAAGCTGCGTGGAGGAGGGTCGTCTACCTCGCCATCAACAATGGCGTCAGCATCCCCGGCATGTCCGCGAGTCTGGCCTACTTCGACTCCTACCGGAGGGACATGCTTCCCGCGAACCTCGTCCAGGCCCAGAGGGACTACTTCGGGGCGCACACCTATGAGAGGGTCGACATGCCTGGCTCCTTCCACACCGAGTGGTACAAGATCGCCAACTCGAAGATCTAAAGCTGCCGCTGCTGCTCTACCGAGAGACGGCCCATCAGGTTTCCTTCTCGGTATCCTCTGTTGCTGCCGTTTAATTTTTATTTGAGTAATGTGTCCTGTATTTAATTTCTACAAGGAGACCACATATTCTCTCCAGTCTCCACTACTTCCATGTGATCAACCCTGGAGGGAAGACATTGTTATTCATCGGGTCAACGTTGACCTGACGATCACTCTGAATTATTTTGAATATAAAATGTGTTTTTACCTACCTCTGTTTGATAGCCAATGGTCCTGCTTTCTCAAGGCTGCTTTATGAGCAGAATCACTGTCTGTTGCTTGTTTGTTGTCTCATATGATTCCCACAAAATTCTGTTGCTACCTCTTGTGTCTATGCTACTTTTTGTTTTGAAGATAGGCCATGTTTGACTACCCTGTTTATGGTTTTTTGTACTGGATCATTTACAGTACAGTTCTTGTGTTACATAGTTGAGTTGTGACACACACTGTCCTGAAAAAAAGGTTCAACTGTGAACATGAGTACTAATCATGAAAGGGGTCGTGGTATTATTAGCCTCTATTTAGTTCTGACTGACTGGAACCGAGTCAAAGTTTTGTCAGAACTTTGTTCGAAATCGGCTCATTTCGATAAGATATTACCTCGAGTTTCATCTGAGATGTACCCATTTATATTCTGAACCAACTTCCATCCCTCATCGCTGGAGACTGGAGTGTACAGATGCTGGACTCAACTGTCCCTGATTGCCAATCATCAACACTCAGTCTGACCAGGGCGTCTCCTGGTGCGTGTCGTGCAAAGACAGCTTTCTATGCAGTGCGTAAACCAAGCTCGAAGGCGTACTTTGTATGCTGGAGAAGATGCTTCCGCTTTTGGATTGTTTCCTACTACTTCATTGGCGCTTGCGCGCACCAAGCCAAGCGTGGGGCGGAGGAGCCATGGTGCCTCCCCACCGCCGCCGATTGTTTGCAAGATTTGTGGCCATGAAACTGAAGATGCTCGCCATGCCATTGCCATTGTTCGCTGCCCTCGGGGATGCAATGCACAAAGCATGGGACTTTACCTTGGGTTCGCATGACCGGACTTGCTGTTGGTGCCACTATCTTCCTTGGTGAAGATGCAAGAACCACAATAGTACCCTACTTCTGTCATGGCGTTCTTGGCAATTAATTGCTTAAGAATCTCGTCCATCCATATTAGATGTGGCTGCTGCAAACAGCCTCTGTTTGCTGCTAAGATGTGGCCAAAGCTCTCAAGATACCAAAGAGCAAGGAGATAGAGGGCTGGCGATGGATGGGCAAAAAGCGTTGGTAACGGTCAAGCCGTTTGTCCTGTGATCTGCTTGCTGCAGGACTGAACACCTGTTCTGGTACTGAAGAAGCTGAGGCAGCTGCTGCTCTGCTCGGCCTTCAACACTGATCTGATCTACGAGGAGCTGAGAATAGCTCAGAGACCAAGCCCATGTGTGCCATCAGCCATCCAGATAGCTTTACCAATTTCGGTGCTCTCGGGTGCCAGAGCACCCTATATGCGAAAATAATTTAGTGATTCAAAAAAGTTCAAGAAATTCAGACACTTTTTTGGAATCAAATGATCAAGTATTGTACTCGTATAAAAAGATTCGCTAGAGAATGACTTTCATTATATCGCGGGTTAAAGATTCGTTAAAAACGCTATATACAAGTACTATTCATGCTACTTCGCAAAAAAAAAGTACTATTCATGCTATATTGTCATCAGAATTATTATTTTTTTGCCCTCAAGTCCATGGGACGCCAAACATTTTACACGAGTACAATACTTGATCACAGATTCTTTTAACTTTTTTTTCGAATCACTAAATTATTTGGCGCATATAGGGTGCGCTGGCACCCGAGAGCACCAACTTCGTGTCCCTTCAGGCTGCCTCTTTCTTCATGGCCTTTGTTTTCTTCTGTTCATACAACAATCATTAACCATGCATGTTCTGCTAGGAGAATTGCATAATCGCCTGTTTTGTTTAACAGTCATGTACCATCTGTTTTCATGCATAATTAAGCATCCAACTTCTGCTATAAGAAATACAAACAATCATCCAGTACTGCACCCAATAATTGCTGCCAAAAAATCATACAAAAGAGCAAAAATAATAATTTTATTTGGATGAAAACCTCCTTCTAGGTTACATGGTTGGGTAGAGAAAACAAAAATTATAATTTTATTTGGATGGAAATCTCCTTCTAGGTTACATGGTTGGGTAGAGAAAATATGGAAAGGGCAACTCGTTCAAGGAAGCATCACCTTGCCGGTGAATGCACTTGGTGCTTAACGATGAACAGAGAGGAAAGTGAAAAGTGTGGAAAACCTAGGCTAAAGCGTATGCATGATGCAGGGATGCGTGCGTGCTAATATAGGGCGCAAATGCCTGCGAGATTACATGGTTGTTAGGCCACGGACTTGATCTCCAAGCTAGCTAACAGAAAGATTATGGGATCAGGTCTCCTTGGCCTAACTGAATACAAGACACGCACACGCTACAGATATACAACGTTTAACACTCCCCGCAATCACAACTATCCAAGTTGAGATTGTGCCTAAAAGCTTGCAACTACCTCAAAGAAAGAGGTTTAATAAATCCATCTGCAACCTGATCACCAGTAGGTATAAATCTGATATTCAACAATTTGTCAGCCACCCTTTCTCGAACAAAGTGATAGTCTATCTCTATATGCTTGGTCCTGGCATGAAAAATAGGATTAGCAGATAAGTATGTAGCACCAAGATTATCACACCAAAGTGATGCCGCCTTTGGTTGTTGAACACCCAATTCTGTCAACATGTTCTGAACCCAGATAACTTCAGCAGTAGCATTTGCTAAGGCCTTATACTCAGCTTCTGTACTTGATCTAGATACAGTCGGCTGCTTACGAGCACTCCAAGAGATTAGGTTACTTCCAAGGAACACTGCAAAACCTCCAGTTGATCTCCTATCATCAGGACAACCTGCCCAATCTGCATCCGAGAAAGCACTTACAAGTATCGAATCTGACTTTCCCAGTTTGAGTCCATGACTCTTTGTCCCTTGAAGATACCTAAGTATTCTCTTTACTGCTGTCCAATGCACACTAGTAGGAGCATGTAAAAACTGGCATACTTTATTTACTGAGTAGGAGATATCTGGTCTAGTTAATGTTAGATATTGTAATGCTCCTACAATACTTCTGTACCTGGTAGAGTCTTCTGTTCCAAGCATGTTTCCATCATAAAGAGATAATTTTTCCGAGGTGGGCAAAGGTGTAGATGATGGCTTACATCCCTTCATGCCCATCCTTTGAAGTATTTCTTGCACATATTTTTCCTGTGCCAGAACAATTCCATTCTTTACATTCTTTACCTCAATTCCAAGGAAGAAATGAAGACTACCAAGATCCTTGAGTGCAAACTCCTTGCTCAAATCCATGAGAAGGGCTTCAACTGCTTTAGATGATGAGCTTGTAACAACTATATCATCAACATAAATAAGCATAAAATTAGTTATCCCATGTCGATGATAATAAAACAACGAGGTATCTCCCTTGGAGGGAATAAAACCAAGAGATTGCAGCTTTGAGGACAGACGAGAGTACCAAGCTCTAGGTGCTTGTTTCAGTCCATAAATTGCTTTATCAAGTTTGCGGACATGATATGGAGAGCGTGGATTCTCATACCCAGGAGGTTGCTTCATGAACACTTCATCTTCCAGTACACCATGCAAAAACGCGTTCTTTACATCTAGCTGTCTTATGCATCAGTTTCTAGATACTGCAACTGAGAGAATTAACTAATAATGGCAGCCTTCACTACAGGACTAAGTGTGTCCTCATAGTCAATCCCATACCTCTGTTTAAAACCCTTAGCAACCAGACGTGCCTTGTACCTGTCAATAGTGCCATCAGATTTTCTCTTTACCTTGTAAACCCACTTGCAGTCAATTATATTCCTGCCCTTGGCTGATGGAACCAAACGCCACGTTCGATTCTTCATGAGGGCTGCATACTCCTCGTCCATAGCTTGCTTCCAACGGGGTTTACCTAGCGCCTCTCCAAAGCTTTGAGGTTCACATGTTGCACAAAAAGAACCCCAACGAATACAACCATCTTTGTATATTGTAGGTTTAACAATACCACTTTGTGACCTGGTGTGCGAACGCACTGGAGGAGGCGGAGCTAGTCGATCAATCTGTTGTTGGAGACGGTTTGTAGAGGATGAAACAGCAGATCCAGAATCAGCCACAGAAGTGTTGGGGATCGTAGCAGAATTTAAAATTTTCTACGCATCACCAAGATCAATCTATGGAGTATTCTAGCAACGAGGGAATAGGAGTGCATCTACATACCCTTGTAGATCGCGAGCGGAAGCGTTCAAGTGAACGGGGTTGATGGAGTCGTACTCGTCATGATCCAAATCACCGATGATCCTAGCGCCGAACGGACGGCACCTCCGCGTTCAACACACGTACGGTTGGGGAAGACGTCTCCTCCTTCTTGATCCAGCAAGGGGGAAGGAGAGGCTGATGGAGATGCAGCAGCACGACAGCGTGGTGGTGGATGCAACAGGGTCTCGGCAGGACTTCGCCAAGCACCAACGAGAGGGAGAGGTGTTACGGGAGGGAGAGGGAGGCGCCAGGGGCTAGGGTGCGCAGCCCTCCCTCCCTCCTCTTTATATAGGGGCCCCGGGGGGCGCCGGCCCCTCTAGATCCCATCTAGAGGGGGGGCGGCGGCCAAGGGGGTGGCTTGCCCCCCAAGCCAAGTGGGGCGCCCCCACCCCTAGGGTTTCCCAACCCTAGGCGTAGGGGAGGCCCAAGGGGGGCGCACCAGCCCACCAGGGGCTGGTTCCCCTCCCACTTCAGCCCATGGGGCCCTCCGGGATAGGTGGCCCCACCTGGTGGACCCCCGGGACCCTTACGGTGGTCCCGGTACAATACCGATTAACCCCGCAACCTTCCCGATGGCCGAAACTGGACTTCCTATATATAAATCTTTAC